ATGGAATAAAATAAGTACTTGCTGATGACACAGCTAAAATGAGAAATGCTCAGAATCAAACAAGAAAGAAGGTGTTTTAAAGTCCCACAATAAAGTACATCTTGCTTTATGAGTCTCCCTGACTCATAAAGTGAATCAGTCTTGTTTGATATTCAGGATTTGTCTTACAATATATTGTACATCCTATTTTTTCTTCCCCTTAGACCATCCTGTTTGTTGTCGCTAGTCAAACAGTATGCTTTCATCCACTGGAAGGGGAATTCAGCTTCCTGCTGCTACTGTCTCCCAGTTATCTCTGTCTTTACTAAGTGGACAGGCTGCGGACTTAAGGGGCAGACCGAAAAGGCCGAGCATCCGGAGGGAAAGCTGCCTCCTGATTCAGCAGCTGTGGCAGTTTTTGGGCTCTATTATAAATGAAGGCTTGTAATTGTAATATTTAACTTCTCCGACATGAGGTCTGCAGCTGTCTCGCACACAGTCTGACATCTTAATTGCACCTAAGCATTTTTGATCTTTGTAAGGAACGATGAAAAACTAAAAGCATGAGGAAAGATATTGACAGTGTGTTAAGGATTTATGGCTTCAAGTTCCAGTCACAGAAATTAAATGTCATTGTTCTCAACTGCTGCCTTACGTTGGCAGCTTTGGAGAGATGCAAAAAAAACATCTCTAATTGTTTGATGTGAGAAGTGAAAAAGTGCAACACAACAATTAAAACAATCCCTATGTGCTTGTGCCTTTAGTATTCATTTCTCCCCATGTGTCATAAGTGTATAAGTTGTTTAAAACTGCTATAGAAAACACAAAGTAAATCACTTAAAATGTTATTATTTATGGCATAAAAACAGAAAAATGGGGTTGAATATCCTGTTCTGCCATCCCAGGACATGTCTGAAGATGCAAATAAATCATACATCCTGAGGGTCGGCATAAGATGTCCCAGTTTTGGTGTCCTCGCCCTCACTGCTAGTCTCTCAGCGCCATCTAGTGTTCAAGGATGTGGAAAATTCATGAATATATGAGCAAAGAGACCAAAAACTGCGTGGCAGAGGAAGTTTCAGTTTATACTGTAAGGTTTTAGACTAAAACATACAGTTGAATGTATAATACTCAAATTAACAAAAGTGGTGATATTTTATAGTCTTATTTTTGTTTTGATTTGATGTCCCTGTTGTTACATACAGTGTATTGTAACTTCCTGTTTTAGTCTTACCCTGTTCTCTTATTTTAATCCTGTGAAGAATGTTGTTAACTAACTCTGTTGAACAGATTTCAGATTATTTTTAAATTAGGGTTTTGACCACTACACCTGGAAACAAATGGTTAACTACTATACACAAAAACAACAAAAACTGTCATAAACTCAGAAAAGAAGTGTCTACACATTTTTATAAGAATTTACTAGAGAATACAGCGGCTTTATGCATCTAATATGAATCATGACCTTGAAATACCTTGGATTTAATATGGTATCCTGCAGTATGTTGTTCTACCACGGAGAGGCGCTCAAAGATCAAACCAGACAGTAGTCATACGTGAAAGCTGCTGCTGCCCAGTATTAAAGATGATGGGAGAGTAGATATGATCAAACCAAGCACTGATTACAAAAAAATGGGCCTTAAAATGTCAACACATCTAATGCACAGATTTTATCCACCAAAGAGGAAAGTCAAGGGGGAAACGCTGAGTTGGGAAAACAGGAATGAAACCCTTGTGCATGCTTCATCACCAGCAGACGTCTTCATCAGGATCTGCTGTCTCAGACCAAACAACAGCGTGACTGAACAGCACATTTTTTGCATTAAGTAGTTAAAGTCACTGTGTGTCATTCAGTTATGTCCGAACAAATTACACCGAATAAAGCAATTGCTGCAGCCTCAGTATCTTGTGGCTATTAAATCTACCCAAGCATGAGACAGTGATTTTAGCTGGTTCCTGTGTACTGAGGACATTACAGGTTTGAATCTGACCTCATGACCTTCTTGTCACATCATACCGTTACCCAACTGTCCCTCATGTTGCTCTTTACTATGAGTAATTTAATAAAAAAGCAATGCAGTCCAGGAAATATTAAGAATTCATATCTTGTGCAGACTACTCCCACCTCTGGCAATATAGTTCCAGAGCCTAATTAAATATAAGGTTCATGTTTAAAAGATAAGGTCTTAAGCGTTAAATTTCACAGGGAAAGCAGAATAAAGGCAGAAAAGACGCTCTCCAAAGCAGAGGGAGGCATTACTGAAGGCTCCCAAAGAAAACTTCTGACACTTATGGTGGTTGGTAATATAATATTGGTAATATATGAAATGTATTGTGTGTGCATGTGTATGTCCACAGACAGTCAGTATTTACAGTGATATTAGGAAGAGCCACACTACTGTATGCAAAGCAATATGCTGCTTTGGCTGCTCTGTATGATTTTTGTGCTCACCGCTTTTGCTCAGGAGATGCATGTTTACCTGAGATCGTCTGAGCTAGACACGCTCATTATAATTTCTCTTCTATTGGGAAACACAACCATGTAGCTATTGAGTCTCAGAAAACACAATAAGTGTACAAAACAATAACATATAACAAGCGTATTTAAGTGGAAGCAATGATGTAGCCAGGACAAAATACAGGACATACATCATGAAATCATTCTTGTTAGCAATTTGGTCCCATGAATGAGCAGCCTTAACATCATATAGCTTTTATCAGCGGCCCAGTTCTTCACTTTATTTACACTGGGGCCAGGACCTTGAATGCACTTTGTACAAAATCAAAGTACAATTGCCAGGGCGACAAACTACCTTATGATAATTAAAGGAATAGGTCTGTATTTTGGCAAATATGAAGTCTGAGATGAGAAGATCGGCATCACTGTCATTTTCTGCACGTTGAATGCGGAGCTAGAGCCAGCACCCATTTAGTTTAGCTTAGCATAGCACCTGCAAGAAGTGGTAAACAGCTAGCACAGCACTCTCCAAAGTGTCTTATCTGTACACATTAAGCTCACTAATTAGGGCACATCTTGTTTATTATGAACACAAACATTTTGTCAGTTATGTGCTGCAGCTACCTGAACACACTTTAAGAAAGATATTTCCAATTTTCATGCTAAGCAAATCTAAGAACATTTTAGCACTAGCTTCATATTTACTGTAGTGTACAGATGTGTGAAAACTGCAAATAGCCAGTTTCCCAAAATGTCAAAGTAACTTTAAAGAATAGTACCAATTTATTACAGCGTGGGTCTTATTTTTAAAGTTCTGGCCATTGTAACCATTGCTTATCATAAAATCAAACTCACTGTATCTGGAAACAAATCTGACAGACCAAAAGACACTCCAACAGGCTGTAAACAAAGATCCCCTACTACTGCCTCATTATGAGAAATATAAAAAAGACCATTATTTGCCATTATTAGTGGAAATGCTACACCAGAAGGACAAAAAAAAATCTCTATGAGCTTGTGCTTTTGAGTTGTATTCAGTGAAGTTGTTCATTTTGGCTCATTGTGAGGCAGATTTGGGTCCTCAGCACATTTAAAATGTGAATAATAATCACTCATCAAAATGAGTTAAACCAGGGAGTCGGTTTCTAAACTGAGATGCACATTTATGCACATTTACAGCTGCCAGTTTAATTAAAAGTTAAAGTAATAATTTTACTGCTAGCTTTAATTTCTTATCCCAAATACGTTTGGCTTATGTGGGGATTTCTTAACCATCTGGATGCTCATAATTTTTGCCCCATAGGGAGTATTTTTACCATGGCTGCCAGGCTCTCAGGTCAATCTTATTATCACCAATAAAAATCATGGTCGAAACTACCAAAATATCCCCTGTTGGCCCAGGCCACTGACTTGAATGAGTCCAGCTTCACTAAAGGTACTGAGTATCAGTCAAGGTGTTCTACAATAATGCAATAATAGTTCTTGAGTAACGTACTTATACAGAATATCACTGTGAACACAGCTCACCCTTGCAGTTTTACCACATCCATATGTCATTTCACAGCCAAAAGTGCATGAAACTGGGCAAAACGCAGAGTGGAATAATAGATGTGACCCTGCAGTGCGCTTATTCATATTTAATGAGAGAGCAAGGCTTGGTGAGGACTTTTATTTTCCATGGAGGCGGCTGTGAACTAATCAATAAGTAATATAAGGAAGATTTACAGGGATCCATTGAACACCCATGAGGACTGAGCGCTGACTGTTTCCTCTTTGTTAGCATCTGTCTGTTGTCCCACTTTCTCCATGTCTTCTTAGTCTTATCTTTATTCTCAAGCTCGCCTCATGTTCTCGCTGCAGCCCTGCGGTATTTAATTCTTAAAAATGGATTCTGTATCTTAGTATCATCACACAGTCTTCAACTCCACAATTGAGAATTATTCTAAAAGTTTTTACTGATCAAATTTAAGATTGCCAACAAGAAATGTTACAGAACATCTGACCATAAACAGCAGGAACCAGATGGTACAGGTACCTTGAGGTCTTCAGGCAATATTGATTAAAAATAAGAGTTTGTCATTTATAGATATTTAGCTGCAAGGGTTTAAAATAACATGTCTGAAGGTCTCAGACAAACCCAATTTTATTATATTTCTAGTCAAAGCTAATTTTATAGAGACTTGTTTTTATGAAATGATCTTTTATTACTGGTATTGATCGCTCTTTTATGACTCTTGTTTTGCTTTTATACAGTATGTATTTCTTGTTTTTTTTATTTGTTTTGTTTTGTTCTGCATATTTTTGTAGTTGTTTTGCTGTCCTTAGGGTCGTTTTTTTGTATGTCTTCTAAGTGGTTTTAGCTTTGTAGTTCTTTTGCATCTATTTTTTCTCATTTTGTGGCTTTATGTAGTAATTTGATAGACTTTCCAACAGAAAGATTACCAGACTCTTCACCGTTCTTTTATCTAGGGGCCCCCCGACCCCCTGTGCCTGGTTGGCCTAATAGTAATCCATTAATGCCAATGCATGACTTAGAATATGATGGACATTTGATCAGCGTTACCTAGTGACTGTCCGGCGATGACCCTGGCATTCTCACCGGCTACGGCTGCCCTGGCGTTCCTCTCGCTGGCGTACTGAACGAAGGCATAGCCTTTGTGCACTGAGCAGCCCACAATCTTCCCATACTTGGCAAAGATGGCCTCAATGTCGGCCTTGTTTACCACGGCCGTATTGAGGTTGCCAATGAAGACGCGGGAGTTGAGAGAGCGCGGGTCATTCTTGTTAGTCACGTTGCTGGTCTGAGTCTTCCCAGTCATCCTAGTAGTCCTGCAGCACTGCCTGCTGGGAGACACAGTTGCACACTGCTCAGAAAACCAAGAAGGTTAGACTGTGGAGGTCATACATAAAAAACCAAAGAGTGCACACTCGCCTGAGATGAAGATATTCTGTATGCTGTAATATCTGCAGGGTTTTATATGGGCTTATAAAATTCCATCTCTGTTTTTATAAATTCCAATACATGGTCAAAATAATGAAAAATATTAAGATTTTCTTTCATTTATGGCATCATTTTTTTCATACTATAAACAAAGCATTGAAAAGCTTAAGTGAATTATTTAGAACTGTGCCTATCTTTTTTTTAAATTACAAAGTAATCTGCCAGTGATTTTCCTGATTAAGCAATTGATTATTTGGTCCATATAACAGTGAAGTGTCCAACACAATTTCCCAAAGCCAAATCAAATATTTTAAAATTCTAACTATGCCAACATGCCTTTCCAGCTGTCTAAAACCCAAAGAAATTCAGTCCACTATGATATAAAACAAACAAACAAAAGAAATAAAAATCCATATATTGGAGAAGCTGACACCAGAATAAGCATAATCAATCAATAATCAATTTTTTTTATTAACTGGCATTCACACCTCTACTTGAAATAAGTAAGGTTACTATCCACAGAGGATAAAGAATGAAACATTCACACCTGAAAAGCCAAAACCACAAAATGTTTTTGCAATTTTGCTTAAAAATGAAAAAACATTTACTTAATAACTATCTCAACAAATTAGCAAATGGTTTCTGAACTAGAAACATTACACGACTTGCAGTTATAGTTATCTAGCTGTGCCTGTACTCTATATTCTGAGCCCATGTCTACCTTTACTGAGGCCAAGGGAACGTGAAGGCTGAAACAGATTGCTGTCTGCAGGAGATGAGACATGGCAGCAGTGATTCAGACGTGTGAATCTGACAAATCTCACTATATATGAACTGTGGTCCTACGTTTGAAAATAGCACATCACACTGAAGTATCCTCACTCACTGTACATGTTGGTCAAGCATCTTCCCAGCTGCTTGATCAGTAAGTTTAGTTACATTCTCATTTCTTCTAATTTCATAACAACATATGTCTGAATAGTTGGGCAGAGCATGGTGGAGCACAGCAGATCGTAGTAGAGCATGGTGGAGCAGCAGGGCTACTTTTACAGTGTTGCACTGGCACTTTTACTTAAGTAAAAGAAATGAATACATCTTCCACCACAGATCATTCATGCATTAGTGCCAGCTTTTTTACTTTCAAACAGAAACCAGGTCAAAAGAGAGACAGATGGATTCAAGTGGACACTTCCAGTCTACTAGCCTGCAGGCCTAAGGCCAACAAATCATCTCAAATGAGCCCTGAAGCAATCTCTCTGTAAACATCACAAGTCCTTCATGAGCTTTTTACACCCTGTGGAGTCTGCTCTGTTTGTTCCCAGAATGCTACAGTTTTCTGGGGGATCAGAAAGTGTAAGCACAGAAATACAGAGAAATTTGGCACATCCACTCAGTGATGAAAGAAGAAAACTCTCAGGTTGTTTCCTCTTTTGTGTATCCATGCAGTCTTTTTTAACCCAGATTCCACAAACTGTAAACAGCTCCAAATTCATCTATTTTGTTAATGAATTAAGTCAAGGAAACAACATGCATTAGACCCAGGTTCTGAATGATGAGTATTTGCTGCTTTATGTTTGTAGCTTTGTAACTCATTTAAATGATTTGTTGCAATTTTATATGAAGTACTTTGAACTTGAGCTCATGTATGAAAGGTGCTATACAAACAGGTGTATAATAATTCGTATTTAAAGTGTTGGACTGTTTGGATCACCTTCGACCTTTTTTTAAATTGACTTTTATAGCAGTTTACATTTTCTCCCCGCATCCTCACAGGTTTTCCCTAGGCATTCTAGATTAGCACTGCAGGTAATAATTATTTTCATTATCAGTTCATCTATTGATTATTTTCTCAATCGCTCCATTTACTGTTTTATCTACAAAATGTCAGGAAGCAAATCCTCAAGTTTGCCTGACTTGTCACTGTAAATATTGAACGCACCAAGAAACACCTGATAGACAAACTAAGTGAACATAAAAATGCCTTCAGAATTACAAATCTAGATTCTTCAATGGCACGACATTTTGCTGACCATCATGTATGCAATGACAAGTCTTTTGAGGGTAAAAGAAATTGAAGTTGCTAAATAGAAGCAGTAAAAAAATGCTGCAAAGGGAAACATAATAATAATGATACCTGTAGAATAGTATCTTTAGGATGTTTGGAGTTTGCCTAGAAACAAGTGAATAAAATAATAAGTTAGTTGCCAATAAATTTGCTGTTTGTGCTTATTTGTTTAACTGACAAATCATTTCTTTTCTATTTGAGTTTCCTCCTTTCATTCAGACAAGCAGCTTGGGTGAACAGGAGACTCTGCTCATGAATGTATCTACTGTGGTCTGTGAATGTTTTATGGCTCCAGCTCAAACCTACAGATCCCCGAATAGAAATGAGCAAGTACAAAAACAAACAGTACGATGTAATAATATCTAATGGTATTTTCTAAAAATACATTGGAAATGGAGGGGCAGGCAAGGCAGTAGCTGTCCTCTTGAGCACACTTAATTTCCCCCATCCTGCCTTTTTTTTTTTACCTCCATACTTTGCCTCCACCCACACATAATCCATTCTAAATCTCCTCTGCTGTATTTTTTTTTAAATCTCCTTTTACATGCCACAAAATGGAAGATAATTTCACACTGCTATGAGTCCCATAATGTTTCAGCACTGTCACTGAGGTTTCAGGGGTTGATAATTTAATTATCAACAGAGCAAGGGACTAAAAATCCCACCAGTCAATCCAATAAAATCATTTAGTCTGTCTCTCTACCGTTGAGCAGCCTCACAGCACTGGCACCTAACTCAACCTGCTAAGTGAGTGATGGATGTGAAGTGCACTGAATGGCCTCTTTAAGGCAAATGGACAAAGGTGAGGCCATTAGATGGTTGATTAAGCATGCAAGAGCACATTATTAAACAGATTTAACCTAAGAAAATGTGACTTTCCCTCATTTAAACCCAGGCTGAGTTGAGATACAGTGCTAAAAGCATTGGCCTTCGCTCATTAAATACAAGTAGAAATGTTTGAAAGAGCA